TTTCACCACTGGACCAATAAACAACATTCTTATCAATGGAGAAAAGACTGAAGTTGTCAAAGACTTCTATCTTCTTGGATCAACTATCAACACTCACAGAAGCAGCAGTCAAAAAATCAAATGATGTATTGCATTAGGCAAATCTGCTGCACAAGACCTTTTTAAAGTATTGAAGAACAAAGTTGTCACCTTGAGGACTAAGGTGCACCTGACCCAAGCCATGGTATTTTCAATAATCTTATATGCATGTGAAAACTGGACAGTGAATAAGGAAGACTGTAGAATAATTGATGGTTTTGAATTATAGTGTTAAAAGACAATATTGAAAATGCCATGGGCTGCCAAAAGAACCAATAGATCCGTTTTGAAAGAAGTACAGCCAGAATGCTCCTTGGAGGCCAAGATGGCCAAACTTCGTCTCTCATACTTTGGACATATTGTCAGGAGGGAACAGTCGTTGGAAAAGAACAACATGTTTGGTAAGGTGGAGGGTCAGAGAATAAAAGGAAGACCCCCAACGAGATGTATCGGCCAGGTGGCATCATTGATGGCGTCAAGTGTGGCAGTGGTAGTGAGGTTGGCCCAGAATCAGACATTGTTTCGTTCTGCTGTGTATGCAGTCGCTATAAGTCGGTTTCGACTCTATGGCACCTGACAACAACAACAACAACCTGCTGCACAAGATCTCTTTAAAGTGATAAAAAGCAAGATGTCACTTTGAGGACTAAGGTGTATTTGACCCAAGCCATGATATTTTCAGTTGCCTCATATGCTCCATGGGAGAAAGATGAAGCTTTCTGCTCCCATAAAGATTTACAGCCTCGGAAACCCTGTACAGGGTCGCTATGGGTCGGAACCGACTCCACGGCACATAACAACAACATATGCATGTAAAAACTGGGCAATGAATAAGGAAGACCGAAAAAGAATTACTGCCTTTGAATTATGATGTTGGTGAAACATATTGAATATACCACAAATTTCCAGAAAAACAAACAAATCTGGCTTGGAAAAAGTACCACCAGAATGCTCCTTAGAAACAAGAACAGCAAGACTTCATCTCCTATACTTTGGACTTGTTCTCAGAAGGAACCAGTCCATGAAGGAGGATGCCAGGCTTGGGAAAAGTAGGTCAGAGGAAAAGAGGCCATCTCTCAGTGAGATTGCTTGCTGCAGGCTCTGCAACAATGGGTTCAAACTTAGCAATGATTTAGAGGATGGCGCGGGACCGGGCAGTATTTCATCCTGTTGTACAATCGGGTCACTGTGAGTCAGAACCAACTCTAAGGCACCAAACAACATTATATTTTTATTATTTAATGATAAATTGCCAGTCCTCTATATTTGAAATCACTTCTGTAATAATTCCAATTTAATTTCCAGCTACAAAAAATATTCATGCCTGAATTGCTATAATGTTTTTCTTTTGGGAGGGGGTGCCCATGAAAATTTACTCACATACACATTACATAATATCATAATAAAATTAAAATCAAATTTGTAGTACAGTTGTAACTGTAATTTTTTTTAAAAGATTGCCTTCAGTAATAATGTCCCAGGAAAAAGATGAAAATGTATTATCTAATATAAATTTTTTATATTACAGAGACACATGAATAACTTATTTTTGCCGTCATTCCATTTCTTCATTGACACTTTTTAATCTTATGAAATTCTCAACTTCTTGAATTCATATTCCTATGATATGACTTAGAAGGGGGGCAGAGAAATTTATACTGTCAATGTTGCTGTCTTTTTATTTAATAAATGACCAACTGGGCTTTCTAAAACTGATGAGTCTCTTTCACAGTTGACTGTAAGGTCATTTATGATGGTTTTTAATGCTCAGTTTTAAATAATTCAATTGGAAAAGAAATAAATAGAGGGCACATCCTCCCCTGATAGCATTTTAGAAATAAATAAATTGTACTCAATCATTTTTGTCACCTGGTGGACTATATTCTCATCTCCATAGACAAGGATTTATTAATTTAACTATTGCCATTAATTTTGCTGAAGTCAGACATCTAAATTCTCGCTCCCAACTTAGAAACGCATTCCATAATTACTGCAAAAGTAAGACTGCACTCTCTCAGAGGAAGTAAGTAGAATACTAAACAGAATTAGGAAAATACGTTACAGTATAGGAGAAATGCGCAAGTCAGTTATTTTCTCTTAAGGAACAAAAACAGAACTAGAGTTAAAAAATAGTATCAACTATCACTATTCTGTTTTTAAACTTTCGTTATAAAAATTATCATATCTAAACATAAAACCAGTTGTGAGGATGGTACAGCACTGGGCAGTGTTGTATTCTATTGTACATCGGGTCGCTATGAGTCAGAACCAACTCAGTTGCACCTAACAAAACCAACTGCAATCCCTCCCTATTCTTACGTTGTTGTTGTTATTAAGTGCCATCGAGTCGGTTCCGATTCATAGCGACCCTGCATAGGGTTTCCGAGGAGCAGATGGTGAGTTTGAACTGCCGATCTTGCAGTTCAAACCGACCCTGCTATACAGTTAATCCTCCAAGCGCCACACCAAGACTCCTCCTATTTTTATATTTTCCTTCTTTCCCAAAGATTAGACACTATCATGAACTGTATGTTTATCACACCTTCATTTTACTAACTCCAGTTCATAGTAAAAATAGAAACAAATGTTCTATAAAAGGATGAGTATCTAATTTTTTATATATTCAATCAAAACCTTATTGTTGTTAATCGCTGTGCAGTCGGTTCCGACTCATAGCGACCTTGTTTAGGGTTTCCAAGGAGCAGGTGGTTAAGTTTGAACTGCCGACCTTGTGGTTAGCAGTCCAGTGCTTTTTCTACAGCACAACACCAGGATGTTGTTGTTGTTAAGTGCCGTCGAGTGGATTCTGACCCAAAGCGACCCTGTATAGGGTTTCTGAGGAGCAGCTGGTGAGCTTGAATCGCCCGCTGACCTTTCATTTCAAACGGCTTTGCAGTCTGGCGCATTAACCCACAGCGTCACACCAGGACTCCCCACGCCAGGATACGCTTTCCTAAATAACATATTATATCGTTTTTCATACTTTCGTTATATATATAAAGTACACTATTATTTATTTATAATCTGGGTTTGGTTTATTGTTGAGAGTTTTTGTTTTGTTTTGCTCTGCTTTTTTCTGTTGTTTAATGTTGTTACTTACCATGGTTCAGTCATGTTGCTGTAGGTAGCTATGTTGTTGTTGGTAAGTGCCATCGAGTTGATTCCGACTCATAGCAACTCCGTACAGGGTTTCTGAGACTTTAAATCTTCCCAGGTGTAGAAAGCCTCATCTTTGTCCTGCGGTGTGGCTGGAGGTCCGAACACAGATATTGTGGTTCACACTCCACATGTAGCTATAGTGAGTCCTGGTGTGGCTCTGCAGGATAATGCGCTGGACTACAAGGTCAGTCTGAGCCTCAAGGTTGGCATTTCAAACCCACCAGCCATTCCTCAAAAATCCTATATAGACAGGGTCTCTATGAGTCAAAACCAACTCGATGGTATTTAACAACAACAACAAAGTTTTGATTAAATATATAAAAAATTAGATACTCATCCTTAGACAAGGAGCATTTCTTTCTATTTTTCTGTTAATGAATAAAGCTGCAATGAATTGAACTCTCATACATTACTGGTGGTAATGTAAAATTGTACAATCACTGATTGCTTTGGAAATCTATTTTTCATATTTTACAGAATTTCTTTTTATTTATTCCCTTGATTTTCTAAATCTGAGAGTTTCTTTCATTGGTTCTGTAAAATTCTCATCCATTATCTCTCCCCGTATTGTATCTCAACTTGTGCAACTTTGATTAGAATTACCTCCCTTTGTGTTCTGTGTCTCCTAAACTCTGCTTCATACTTGCTGTTTCCTTGGATCCCTGTTCTAGATCTAGATTCCAATTAATTCACCATTCAGTTATGCTTAATCTCTTTGTTTCATTCGTTGGGTGTCAAAATCATTGTATTTTTACAACGAAAAGTTTTAATAGGTTTGTTTTTTTTTTAAATCTGCCTGGTTATGGTTATAAATAATTTATTTTATTTTATTTTTTATTGTTTTATTACTAAAGCTATACATTGCAAAATGCATACCAATTCAACAATTTCTAAATGTCCAGTTCAGTTACCTTGATTACATTCTTCAAGCTATCTAGCCATTCTTACTCTCCTTTTTCTAAATTGTTCCTCTCCCACTAACATAAATTTGTTGTTCCTCAAGCTTCCTTTCTAACCTTTTGAGTTACTGTTGTCAATTTGACCCCATATGTGGTTGTTAAATGCCTTGGAGTCATTTCCAGTGCATAGCGACCCTGCATAGGGTTTCCAAGGAGCGGTGGGGTCAAACAACTTTGCAGTCCAGCGCATTAGCCCACGGCGCCACACCAGGACTCCTTGAC